TATATATATATATATATATATATACGGATTAGTGAGCGTTTGTCGCAGCGTTTAGATGAAGTGTGATGAATGTATGTGTTTCATCTAAGTTGACTGATTTATACTGTTTACATTCATACAATATCCATCCTTGCAGCAAACCATCCATCCCTTTATCTATGCAGACAATCACCCAACCATTCCATTCATTTATTCCATACTCATCCATTATCAGTCTTCAAATACGACACAAAAATTGCTTGTATACTGATATATTAATTATATACCAATTAGCTAGTGTTGAGCTCTCCAAAAATTTAAGTGAACTGAAAACATCAATAAATTAAGTCAAGGCAAAAACCAGAAATCGTCCTAAAATCTGACAACTGACAACGACGATTAAATTCAGTGCCGGATTGACGGCAAGTTTCGTTCAGCCATAAAACTTTAAATGCGATATAAAATTGGCGTAAACTGATAACTCAATGCAATTGTTCCAAAGGTCTAATTCAAAATCTGCGCACACATTCTCCATTTCTATCACAGTCGTCCTATTGCAATAATGGATAAGCGGTTTCACTTCATTCATATGCTAATATTCGACAGAAGTTGAATGGTTCATCAGTTGTTCACATGAACAATTAGAAATAATGATAATTAAGCGATTAATGAAATGTCAGAATTACAATACAATCATTCATGCGTGTGCTCTAGAGAAGGAATAGGAGAATTCTGAGGGAACCAAACGAGTCCCCTCTCAAATGATTTTCGTCTCTTTAAAAAATCCCGGGTAATGCCCAATTTGCACGGTCACGCCAAATATTTCCCCAAGTAGAAAACTCTGCCCAAAAGCGTGAAATTACTAAGTCTTTCATCAAACATCAGAATACGTACGTGATGACTCGTGTCTTTTGGATATACGAATAAGGTTAACTAGTAATCGCTCATACATGAGTATAAGCATGATAATTCAAAGTGTTTTTACAATATTAGCACTGTTGCTGGAAAATGTTGGAATGCATTTGATAAACATTAACGTATTTATTTCGTTGTATTTTTAAAGATATCACAAAACTCAATAATTAATGTAAATTACACTGTAAAGAAATTAAAAAAAGGAAGAGTTAGATACGGTGAAAGGTACGATGCGATACGACGGAACGGTATGGAGCAGTATTCATGGACGATTACATCAATTGGTGATATCGGGTATGAAGGATTACGATTTTGGTAGCAGTCGATACAGGAGGTGACGGATAGGTTGACGATCTACCCGCAAGAGGGATAGCAAAAGAAGGAATATGATGAGGGAAGATTTATTGATAGATAAATAGATAGACTGGATAGACGAGACGAATGAATGAGCCGATGATCGGTGGCGATTCCATATTTATTCGAATTTCACTTCCAAGGTCATTTATTTGTTTATTTATTTATTTATTCTTATACGTACTTCATTCATTCAATTATTGATGTATTTATCCAGTTCATTTGAATGTGAATTAAAATGAAAATGAAAGTCAAATTTTATCCCATTACTAATTCGGATTGCTTTCTTGGCTCTATCAAACTACAGCAGCACCATGCAGCTTTCAATAACATTCATAAATTAAGGGTTGATTGGATTCCGATAATGATTCGTACTTCTGATGTTGAATTTAATGTAAATGCATTCAGATGTGGCATAATGATACAGCTATACAGTATAACGCATATACGAATGAAACAGAATGAGGAAATTGGGAGTAATATTGGAAATAGCAGTGGTGATCGAGTGTGAAGGTCATTCGGGATTGAAGGCATTATTCATCTCTTCAGCATTTATAATAGTTGTTCTGGTTATTCACCTCTTCATCTCTTAAATATATACACACACACAAATATAAACGTGTCTTTGTACGTAGGTAAAAGTGATTCATGATACTAGCACAACGATTTCATTTATTTTGAAGACAATCTTTCATTTCATATATAGTTTTCGGATGGAACAAATCCATAACTGATTGTATTTTTTAACTATGACTGAGATTATAATGATAGGAGCAACAGTAGTAGGAAATGACAGGAAGAGCTTAGTTGTTGATTCGGTAATTTGTGTGTAGAATAGAGTACATTGCATCAATGAACTACTCAGGATCGAATGCGATTTAATCATAGAATAATGATACTTTTTGTTGTATTCATTGCAAAGGAAGCTTGAGCTAGCATGAGAAGAAAAACAACAAGGAGAAGAACATATTATCATAATCAAAAATCTCAAATATTTCATTAATATCAATAATATATTCCTATATAACATAAATCTTGATATGAAAGATTCAAAAAATACATAAGAAATACAATAAAATACACGCTATATAATCATAACAAATCGAATTTGAGAAGATATAACTATAAATAACGATACTAATACTAATAATAATATTGACAATAATAATAACAGTAATAATAGTAATATAGTAATAATAACAATAATAATAAAGATGTTAATAGTAATAATAAAAATAATAATAACAGCAATAATAATGACATCTAAGAAGATAGCAAGTAAAAAAAAGAAACAACAAAAGTGAAAAAAAAATTGAACATGCAAATACAGAGAATAAGAGGAAGGATCAAATGCTCTGTGGATATCAGCTAAATTTGCTAGCTCCATACAAAATCTTTTCATCAACAATTTCATCAGACTGTTTTGGATAGTGAAACGATTGAATCGATTTGCTCTTCAATTGAGCATTCAATTATGTTATATTGAAAATGTTCTAAGAAACTAATTAGATTTTCATTCAATTCATTTAAAAATATTCATCCTTTTTTGGTTGGTATGTGTAAGTAGCTAAGCGATGAATAACAGGAGTCATTCGGTGACTCCGACAGATGTTTCGAATTTATTGAGTTGAAACACAAAAAGGAGCTTTCTCTTTGAATAGTTTTATTTTAAAAGATGATATCAATAGAACTCGTATGATAAGTTTACTGTATTTTATACCAGCTGCTGTGTTTTTATGCACATCATCGTCGTTCCTTTTCATTTGAAGATCTTCTGAAAGCCAAATATAAATGCAAGCAATGATTCAATAAAATAAAAAAAAATGGCTTGATAGCTGCATATGCACAGCTTGAAATGAAATGAACATGCAATGATATCCGTCCATTTCGATTTTATCTCGCATTCTGAGACGAGCACGTTATCTATAAAGTAGGACGGATACCTATCACTAATCGTTGCTAATATAAGCCGCAAGATGAGTCATAGCGAACTTTTCCTTTCCGCAAACTCCACAAAAATATCGCTAAATGAACGTTCGCTGGTGCCGTTGAGCAAGATGGCGCCTGGAGATAAGCAATGATAAAAACTCAAAAATGTAAACACGGTTGCTGTAATCAAGAATACATGCACGTAATGAATGCTGTACTTGAATTAGTCGAAATAAACTACATGGAAGGTTGCATAGATTTCATGAGGTCTAATCATTTAAGACGGCACGTCGATGTTATGACGAAAGTATCAGGATAATAAGCAAATCTAAGGATATAAGTAGTTCGAAAATGGTACATCTGACATCCCTACGGTAGTGCGGTTTTGCTCAGAATACGGATCATAGGTATAGACCAGTGGTTCTCATAGGGGATAAAACCACCCATTTTGTTCATTTGAAGGTGTCAAGGGGTAATGGAGGGAGTCTGGAAATTAGTATATCGTGCAGTTGTTATGTTATGATAGAATGCCATTGTAATGGTGTTTTTAATTCGGGTATGTGAATGCGCTTAGTTGATGGCATTCTTCATTCTCGTATTTTCTGAGTATCATTAGCTCGTTCGAGCTAACAGGGTTTTCATTCTTTTCCTTGTGTTACAATCTCTCTCATAGCTTTTATCATCAGAAGTGTTCTCTTTTGCTAATTTCTCATTCGTTTCACTCAACAATTAAAGTCAAATTCTCATTCCATCAAATACACTCTATATTTGATCATTTGAGTGTCGAGCGTTGTTGCGCAATAATATTCGATTGCTGTGTTGTTGATTTCGACTGTCAACACTCGTCAACGCATCCAGTAAATAGTATATGCTACAGAATGAGAAATTGATTCGAACTGTGAAGTGAAATGAGACGAAGTGAATGAGAAAAACTCATCAAGAGAACGGTATTCGCATGTAACAGCTATGAGAGTGAATGCAACACGTCTGAAAAGAATAAGAATCTATCTAAATCAGTTTGAAGTGAGCGTGTCCTAGAAAATAGCTTTTCATGCAATAATGAGCAACACAATTGTATAGGACAGTGGTTCTCATAGGGGGTGAAATTACCCGTTTTGGGTAATTTGGAGGTGTCGAGGGAGGAGAGTAATGGAGGGGTCAGGAAAATAGTATTTCGTGCAGCTGCTAGTTATGATAAAAGCCATTGTCATAGTGGATTTTTCACTTGGATATCTGAACGCGGTTCGCTCATAAAAACACTTCTCTATTCTACTTTCTGAGTATCTCTAGCTCATCCAGGTCTGAACAAAAGTAAATCTGAAGTAGTCAATTATTTCATAAGTTTTTTAATATATTGGCTGACATCATCTCTCTTGAACAGTAAGAATTGATTGAACTCTTTGGTACGACAGAAAAGATCATTAGTTTGGTGTGAGATGATCGAGTTGAGGAACTTTCGGGTCGGTTTTCCGTTTGTTCCTGACATTATACGTAGAAATAGTAAATTCTTGTGTAATCATTTAAAAAAAAATGATGCGCGAGAATAGTAAATTCTTGCATTAAAGGGAGAAGTAATGACGGTCTGCCGAATCATCGAAGACTGCAGAGGAGCTCCCGAGCAAGAGAACCACTGTTCTAGAGGCTATTCGTCAATACAATCGTCCACTTCCATGGAGATTCGTGATTCAAAACTGAGACTCTTTGTCAAGGCTCCTTCTCATGAAGTTTGCCCTCATTTCCACAATAAAATACCGCTACAAACTAAACAGGACGATCCCGAAGTGACTCTGCCACGAACTAACTGTTCGTTCAGCTCACGTTCTTATTCCCGATTTTTTTCATTATAGTCAAATTAATTTTACTTGTGTACATTATTTAGGTGGATGGTACTTAATTTGCGTGAAATTAGCGAATTTAGCATGTTAATGAGGTAAAACTGAACTCACCCTCAAAGCTCCCTCTCATCAGAGCCATATTTGTGCTTTCTTGTCACTTTTGTGTACTTTTTAAATAGGAGACATGTGATATGATTAAATATCATAGATTTCGCATTCAAAAAGTTGATTGTCCAATGACATTTCTCATTCAGTGATATGATGATTTAATTAAGTCATTTTCTTTACGTCTTTAATGAAAGATCCTTGAGAATGTTGCGTTTTTCAATCGAAAATTGGTATAGTGACATGGTTGAAGTATTTCGTTCCTCTTCGTTGTTGATGTATTTACGGCCTGTCGAATGCGTTTTTGGAATGTAATCTGATGGCTTGTTACTTCCAACTGTTATGTTTGTTTTAGCTGCTCAATGGTCAGAATTAACATGGTGGTCGGCTCGATCCGAAAGATGAACGAGGTCACCGAATTTTCGCAACAAACAATGGTCGCGCATGTTTTTCGCAGAGGCTAGTTGTTTTACCACTTCATCTTTTTTCCTGTTGTATTACTTTTTGCTTAGTCCTTAGTTTTGCAAAATGGGCGGAAATGGTCACTGAATGGTTTTTTACACACTGATCCATCCATTCGTAGTTGGATCAGAGGCACAGGCACTGCATTTCCTAGCCCCCTTGTAGGTGTTCGGGTAGTGTGGCCGGGAGAATGGGCTGATAACCCAGGGAGAAATCCTATCCCGGTACCGGGTGAACCCGGCATTCGTACCGTCAAACTTCCATGTTTTCATGGACAGCGGCGGGGGACCTCGGGTGTTATGGAAGTGTGGTATCTGTGTCTCTGGCCAATCAAACAACTAATCAAGAGAATAAGAATCATTTCGTGACCATTTTCTTCTTTTTCATATACTCAGTAGTATTCAGTTTATGATATTCATAGGTTATATTCACTTTAGAAAATTGGAATCTTTGTATTATTTGACGTATGTTATTTGAATGTAAGCATATGGATGCATTATAATTACTGATATTAGCAATTTTCATTATTCAATTCGATTCGATCGGGAACGTGGATGAGGATTCAACAGCAGAATGGTCGTATCAAACTTTTCGTGGAGAAGTTAGAGCAATTGATTTATCGGAGAAAGGTAATAAATTGACAGATGTTTTGTATGTATTTATGAATAAAAAATCGTCTTATCCTTGATTTATGAGTTGTTCATTCCGCCTTTGCTTTATTTTTTTCAGAGGGGAATGTTTTTTGCGCAATACGTTCTTGCACACACTAGGGTGTGAGGTTCTGCAGCGGCTCTCTGTAGAGCTATTGAAACCCAACGGCCATCTTTAGCGCCAATGTAACCCAACGGCTCTCCTTAGAGCCATCGAGTCGATAAACCAAACTTCAGTCATTTCTTCCTCAACCCATCGGCTCTTTTTCGAATCACTGTAACTGATAAGCCGCAGCATGCCCTTGCTTCGTAAAGATAGGATGTTTAAAAACTTTTTATTTCTTGTGGATTTCGTCAAGCTTTATCAAAATCTGCATGATCTTTTTCATTTGCTTTGCTGTACCTCTTTTCATGCTTAATTTTTCTTTTAAGTATATATTCTGCAATGAGTCCATACTTCCCTTATCATACTTCATTTGTTTTTTGTTTCGAACGCAACAGCACATTAGATAATTGAGCTCGGTGATTTTAGGTATTTGCATATGTTTCGTTAGATTCATTTCGAACGAAGCGTATTGATATGATTATTAAAAATGTTTTTATTATTCTATCTGATGATAATCGATTTATTACTCCAGAGCGCCGTTCTATTTTGCGATAAAGCTTCGAGCACGTTGCATTGATCGATGTCCTGACTTCGCGATGGTGAAGAATCGATGTCCTGATTTATTTTTTGGTTAATGCTGTGAAGTTTGTGATGTGATATTAATGTGATATGTCGTATGCTGTGATGTGATATTTGTTGAATGTTGTGTTGTGATATGTGTTGTATGTCGTGACGTTTTTCTATATCTTCATCTTTGATGTGAATTATGTAGAAAGCTTAAAAGTTTTGGGAGGGGGGTGTTGCTATTTTTTCGTTTATTTTATTGTTGTTTTTCGTTTGTTTTCATTATTGTTTTTCGTTTGTTTTCACTGTTGTTCTTCGTTTTTGAAAGAGCTCTAAAAGGACCACTTCGTGTGGTTAGTGGAGCTCTTTCAGTCGATACTACCCGGCTAGTGAATGACTGTAGCATATGTTAGGTTATGTACTGTTACGAACGGATGAATCCAAAATTATCTTTCGGATGATGCAATTTGAGTTACCAATAACGGTGAGGTGTTCACTAGCTAGGCGGTACTCGATTTAACCTGACTTCCAGTTAGAACCAGAGGCTGTCGGTATTTTTGTGAGATTTGGAGAGGTTTACTCTTGCTCATGGGGTGACAGCCATCGCTCTGGTGCTTTGGGTAGTGGATGGCTTGCCAGCTCAGTCTAGTCGGGGTTGACAAGACGTCTTCTAACCGAAGATACGTCCCAACTGGAAGTCAGGCTTTCCTTCTGAGGGACTCTGGTCGCGAAACGGCACTTCGGCACCCGTCTAGCGACCAGTGGGCCCTCTGCCAAAAATGGTGGGGTGGTGGGTGTGTGTTGATTATTTTAAAAATTTTTAAATTCCCGCCTCTGGAAAGAAGCCGATTGCAGAGCAGTGCAGGGTGGCCAATTTTGAAGTGAAGCCAAATTCGCATTTGACAAGATTTCTTCTAACACATAAACTCGCATTTGTGTTTCGATTTTATTTATTTATTTTAAGATTCATCACGCACTTTGATTTTAAATCCATCGAAAGGTGTGGTGGAGCTCCAAGGCGTAAGAACCACTCTTAAAGAAGTGCCAAGAAGGAGTAGGAAGTATGATGGTGTCCCCAGCAGAGGTGCAATATTTTGAATCTGAAGGCATGAAGAGACTACTGTGCTGCTAAGCAAATCTGAGAAAACAATATGGCACTCGCAATATTCTCATAGCGGTATTATACTTTTAGAGAATGAAGTATGTCTCTGGAACTGAGGCTGATAGTTGACAGAGCCACATCAATGTATCTCTGGAACTCCATACTTTTTCAGCAGATATTTTTCTTATCACCATTCACCATTCATCGTAATCACGTTTGCTATCAATATTTGTTCTTGAATGCTTTTAGTGATCACCGGAAAGCAACTGCATATCCGTGGTATTGGGGTGGTTTTTAATTTTGACACTGATTCTAACGTTGAGACTCGCTTTTTGTCCATAACGGTACTTTTCAAGGAACATACGTATTGATATTAGCCATCAAGCGAAAAATTTGTCCATTTTGCGAACAACCCTACTCGTTGACTAATATCAGTACGTATCAATAGCTTTTGATAAGGACGATCAAATATGATTTACGAAGAGAAATGCGATATAATAAAGATCTTTATTTGTTATTCGATGATTTGTAAATCGGGTGTGTTTGCGTGAATATGGATTAATGAATTTTTGTGTACAATTTACATTGTTCATTAGAGTATCACATTACAATTTTGTGGATTTCTCTTTGAATTTCGAGTCCTTTTTGTGTTGATGGTTATGTTGTTGACCTACGTTAATTGCCGCATTCCCTTTTGTCTTATTCCGCTCATTGCAACCCTGAAATTCAATTACTTTCTCAACATTACTCCCATATGCTTTTTCAACAATTTTGATTTTTGGTCACTCTTCTAATAATTATACTATAATCTCAACTAAGTGTATCCAGTCGATCAGATGAAATCCATAAATGAATTACGTATATAAATATTTGAATTAACTGCGTATTATGACTTTTTTTTTCGCAGAGTTTATACTGTTCGAACGTTTCGCTCATTAAGAATTCTTGTCTCATTTGAGCGAGAATCGTTCATTTCATTTTTTAAAAAACGGAAACTGCAATCGTTATGAAGATTTATGTTGCCACTGAATTGTTGTCATTACTATTATTTTGATTGTTACAGTTGAAAAGTAATGGAATTTGCATAAACTTGATGTGATGGAGTTGAACTGAGATGTGGATGGGATTTAGCACTAGAACAGTTGTCTTTTGATGGGGATTGCGGAACATTCGGTGGATCATCATAATCTGGTGCTGGAATCGTGAACACATCCTCAGACAACACCGGTCGACGAGGAGTAGCAGGCAGCGAATTTTTAACACACTACAAATTGCAGGTATTTGACGCTGGTTTCAGCAAAACTGATAAACAGTAATACTGTTAATAGTTTTAAAAAAACAACAATAACAATAATAGTAATGATACAAGAAACGAAAATGATAATTATAGTGCATGAGAAATTCGATGAGGATATAACTGAAAGAAAGTCGATGATATATTGCAATGAAACGTTAACCAGGAAAAAATCTTACGAAGTGTAATTATCGAAAGCTTACTTTATAGAAGCCAAGACGTCCTCGGGTTGGAATGAATTCAAGACCAGATATCCGAGGTCTTGGAATTTCGGTGGGTTGTAAATTGCAGAAATTTTCGCGTCTTGCACTGCTACTAATACTAGTACTATTGCTAGTCATCCTTCGGAATTCTAAAATTGAAAGCGAAATGATCATTAACGAACAATTCAAAAACAAAACAGTTCTTGTGAAGTTATTCTTGTGCTGTTCTATCAGCTGTTCCCAGCCTAAAACAAAGCAAAGCACCTGCGAAGTTGACATTCGATGCATATCCAAGAGTCATATGCATATTTATATTTCATCAAAATCAGAACATTTATTAATGAATAGTAATAACCAAAATGAATAAAAACAAAGCAGCAACAGTAATCTGTAACAGATAAACTTAGTATGACTAAACAGATCAATGAAGACGTTCGTTTCCATGTAACGCTCTTATCAGTAGAGAATAGCACAGGTTTGAATTGCTAACATGCAATGCAAACTGATAAGCGAATATTATCTTTGCATTAAGCATGAAGTAGAATGTCTTCACTTTTTAATAATAATAATAATAATAACAACAAATAATGAGAAATTAATAACGATACTAAAATAATTGATTGTGTTGTTCTATAAGCACATAATAAATCAAAGTTTCAAGCTGTTCTATCACATCATGATTCATTACATTCTTCAAACATTCATGCTAGAGCTATTTATTGCTGTAATGAAATTATGACAATAAATTCAGAGAGTGGTAGTTAACAAGGCTGTGCTGCTGCTAAAAATTGATGAAAAATTAACAATATTCTTCAGATATTTATGGTAGAGTTAGTTATTGCTATTATGAAATTAAGATAGTAAATTCAGAAAGTGGTAGTTAACAATGCTGTGCTGCTGCTGATAAGAATTAATGAAAAATTAACGATCAGTTTAAACAATGAAAAATAAAATTTATATTACGAAGTACGATGAGTGCATAAAGAATTTTATTGGAAACAATGAACAAATAATATCAACAACAATGATCAAAATTCATAAGCATAATGCATAAAATAATAAAAATAAAAGAATCAATAAAGAGCTAACTCATATGCATATCAAGATGACAAATCTTTTCGAATACGTGGCGAGGTTCTGGAATCCAGCTCAAAACAATATGCCGTTTATTTTAGAGACGATCCATGGCGCAAAATTTTGCTTCACAAAATCAGTTTCAAAATTAGCTGAGTCAACGTGTTTCTGGCCAAACGAACTAAATTACGTGATTTCTAGAATTCAGCAGAATTTCCCAAGTCTCACTCATTAAGATGATGGATTCCATATGATGCAGAAAAAATCACTGAAATTTCACTTCAGAGAAGAAAACAATTAGTCTTTTTGATAGATCGCTGAATCAAATTGATCGTTATTTTGCTTTCCAGTCAAAACTATACGATTCTGAACGGGTGACGAGCAACTGCAATCGAAATCTTAAAATCGCCCACTACTGCGCTTAAGGCGAACGAAAACTGAATGCAGAAAACAATTTGTTTACATCAGCAAATCGTTGTTTCCAGATGAACTAAAGGTAACTCTTTCTCAAATGCAATTTGTACTTGTCAGGGCTTTGTTTTTTTTGCAAAAACCAAAATGTCATCCAGATACGTAATAAGTTTATCACATTTGATGAAGAGGCACCTAAAGCAGTATCAAAGTGAAAAGTGAACCTAAATTAATAAAGGACTATCAATAACAGCTGCACCAATCGCTACGCCACCTTTATCGACATGTTCACATTTACTTCGAATGATGTGTCCTTTCGAGATATTCATCATTATGCGTTCATCTTTACATCCTTTCATTTTCATTTCACCATATAAACAACCGTAAACACCCAATTCTCCAACAATATTACTCAACTCAACCGACTCAAACGGCCGAATCAAATAATTCTGAAACACAATGATGGTATCATTTATAGCAAAAAAAATTAATAATAATAATTTCAATAGTAATAGGTGAACCTTAACAACCATAGGTCGTATTCGTTCCATGAGAATGTGTGCAGCACGTTCTGATAAATTCATCCGCTTTAGTTTTGTTGAGACTTCATCTCCGTAATAATTTCCACCACCACCCTCCAGTTGCGGTTTCAACACGAATCGTTCTGGATGTTCTATAGCCTTCTAAGAAGGATCACATTTTTCATAAACACCTTTCATACTCAAAACATTGCACATTTCATTTTGAACACATCAATTCACCTTTACAATCTCTTGCGTTGATACATCATCATTCTCTAATCCCCATAAACCAGCGAAAGTTGCTCGAATCCGAACACAGTCCGATTTTGCTTCTGCTAAAAATTTTTCGAGCTGACCCTCTTCAGCCAACACCTTTAAATAGTTCAATATCTTGAACCTATTCAACCCTTTATCTGTGATATTAATAATAATAATAATAATAATAATAATAATAACAATAATAATATTATTATTAATAAAACAGAAAATGACCTGCTGTATTTTTTTAGTGTTAGCCAACTGTAAGCCGATCCAAGGACATTTGACCGCAGTGGATAATTCAATCTGAAGTCTTGCATTCCATTCCAGTTCAGACGGATAATTACTTGGTGAATAACCGGCACGAAAGTATACAATCGTGATACACTCGTTTTTGTCCAATAACAATTCATAACCACTCGTACCTCCCAATGTTAATCTTTAATAGCACACTGTACATTTTATAATAATAACACTAATATTGCTGTTAGGGTACGAAACCAATTTAGAAATGAGTGCGTTCAATTAAAGAATAACTACCTATGAGCACATTCAGTTAAGGTAAGGCGAACGCATTTAGCTCGTCTTGCACTCAACTTGTCGATACGATATTCAACATGGCGTTGATCAAGCTGATTTTGATTCACATCCTCAACGACAAACAGAATCAACGATTTCACGTCACCAACGTCCAACCTAAAATCAAATCAATGTACACTCCCATAAAAACCAACTAATATCCCATAAAAATTGCCCCTCGCCCCATCCTCATCAAAACAACAAACAAATAACCCCAACCATGCATCAAAAATGCCCTCGGCAATCGTATCGATTGGCTGGTTGGACGGTGGAAGATAATTGTCAATGATTTCATCGGATACACCCAAATCTTGTAACGTTCGTCGATGCAAACAGGATGTCATCTCACCCAGCCAACCCATACTTGCGGCAATATTGTTCACTTCGACCTGAATTAATTAATTGCTTCATTACTGTTCGCATTGCACACTCCAGAAGTAATTAATTCACCTGTCTTAATCTGAAGTCATTACTACCCACCACTTGTTCATCACACATGTAGTCTGCTCGTTGAATCAACAAAGTTTTCGTTTGTTTCAAACCAACCTTATGAATATGCTTCAAAATTTCCACAAAATGCCTGTAAAATTACTTTCGCACTTGTTAATAATTAAGCGAATAATAATAACTCTTACTATGACTGTTATTACAGTTAAAATCCTTTAAGAAAAATAATTTTTAAAACAAAGAAATATTTACGACGAAAACCTTGTGAAATCATCCGTTTTAATGACCTCTGCATGAGCGTTAACAAGGAATTCATAATCGGACGATATCCGAAAATACAGCAGATTTATAGCCTGTAACACATCATACGTACAAAATGCGAGGCAGTCAAACAAATTCAATGTTAAATTCGTTTTTCTCCCGCTGTGCTTCGATAATGATGGTTTAGTTATGAGCTATATCCTTCTCTGCTACGTTTCCACAAAATATTTGCTAATCGAAATAATTGATAAATGAGGAATCAAGTTCTAAGCAAAAGTTACACACCTGTTGAATGTTGACTGCTTCCTGAAACAATCTGTTCGGGAACGGAGATGGTAACAGTGTGAACGGTGCTGTCTGACAAATATCACTACGATCCTTATGATCTGCAGTACGCATTACTAAGCCATGACCCTCAATTTAGCATCATTATTCGATTGCAATTCATTAATATTATTTTCACTATTCATTCAAAATAATCATTGTACACATTCACTTTTAACTATGAAAAATAATTTAATTGAACACTTGCAATAATAGTTATCATAATAACAATAATATGTCTTTGATAATATAATAATAACAACAGTGTATATGTATGAATATTTTAATGGATAAACGGTGAAAAGCGCCTTACATGTGCCCAATCTACAGCATTCTCAACCATTTTATTTAAGCTTTCTTCATCGAATTTTATTGGGAACGGATAACGACTGGCACAGGTATGATCCATTTGTGATGCTGTTGTAGGATGTAATTGATTTAATCTGAAACTTGACCAAAACTCCAATATAAACTCTCAAAATATGTGTTGTTCATTCATGCAAATGTTGTCATAAATGAACATTACTTTCGAGGGCAACAAACATGATGATGATGGCAATTGGTATAATATCTACTCTAAGAAATAAACAGCTCAGTTGAATGATAACAACAAAGTATCTATCTAACTATCTATCTCATGCATTTACGACCGTATTCACAAGCTCAACTAAATCCCTCTCTCGAACGAGAACATCCTCATTAAACTAATATTTACTGCAGCTCAGAGCCAGCTGTACCCAATCAGATCAAAACTCTATATGGTAATGGACAGTGATCTCAGCGAATTGATCGCCTGAACATTGTAAACCTAAAATTACATGAATAGTCAGCATGTTCATAAAGTTAGAACGCGTAATTCATGAAATGACTTTATCTGAAATGGTGGAATAACTGTGAAACTAAGCATTTATCGCTTGGAAAGTATAAGATTCCTTTGTAGTTCAGAACCAGATCTATTGCATGCAGTCAGGAAAAAGTATGTTTACAGATGGGATATTACTACATCTATTAGTCATATTTCCGATGCAGAGCGAAGAAAGCGCAGACGCAAAGTGGAATAAAACACAAATCAATACGCATTTCCTTATGGCAGCAGTATTCACAAGAATCCATCTTGAATGAATTAGTAACGATAATTTTTTGAATTTATAAACAGTGATATTGATCATATGTAACATTATTTCTCAGTGAATTGTAACATCCGCTTGGAGCTTGAATAGCAATCAGGATGATACTTCTGAACAGAGAAAACAGAGATACGGTGATGAGCAAAGTTGAGAGAGAATGGAACTTTTATTTTGTATCGAATGAATTAATTCATGTCTGAACGGAGGAAAACTTGTTTGAGAATGAATGGCAACAACTATTAAATTAGATTCCCTTCACATTTTCATTTCAATTCATCAATTAAAATTTTTTCAAAAAGTTGTATGGAATACGCTTTTAAGAATTATTTATGTACGGAATTTTATATATATATATATAT